GCCGATCGTTTAGCTGCGGGCCATGTGAGGGAATCAACTTCCCCACATAGCTCTCCGATCTTCTGTGTGCGAAAAGCAACAGGAGGGTGGCGGATAGTGCACGCGTTCAACAAATTGAACGCTGCAACGGTACCGGCTCAGACGCCGATACCGAGGAAGGACGTAATCATTGATGGTATGTCAAAGTGTACCATCTTTTCGTCCATGGATTTGATGGCTTCTATCAAATCCTTATGCGAGAACGGGATATACCCTATACCGCAGTTAGCACGCCTAGCGGCATGCTCTGGGAATGGCTAGTAATGCCACAAGGGCTTAGTAATGCCCCTGCCACGTTCAACAGATGTGTATCACATCTGTTGAGACCAGTACGAGAATTCGCGCCGAGTTATTTCGATGACGTATTCATCCATAGTCGAGCTATGGATGAAAAGTCGGACGTTGAGGTTCACAGGTATCACGTCCGACAGGTTCTTACAATCATGCGAAAGCATCAATTGTATGCAAACCTCAAGAAGTGTATATTTGCAGCAAGCGAAATACCACTTCTTGGGTGCATCGTTGGTAAGAACGGTGTACGTCCTGATCCCGAAAAGATCAAGGCGATCACCGACTGGCCTGTGCCGGTTGATGTCAAAGGTCTTCGAAAATTCCTTGGGCTAGCGGCGTATTTGCATAAGTATTCACGTAATTACGCCGAGATGACTGTACATATCTCTCGTTTGTTGAAAAAGAACGAGAGGTGGTTATGGAACGCTGAATGTCAGCGCTCCTTTGATGGTATCAAGCAGAGCTTGATACAATCCCCAGTCCTAGCAATAGCCGATCAGGACAGGCCATTTCATGTGGTCTGTGATGCCAGCGATTTCGCAATCGGCTGTGCATTAATGCAGTACGATCTTGAAGGCGTTGAACGCGTCGTCTGCTATCAGTTGCGCCAGCTGCAACCAGCTGAGCGGAACTATCCAGTGCATGACAAGGAACTCCTTGCCATGAAGTATGCACTCGCGAAGTTCAGAGTCTATCTATTAGGAGATAGACCCTTCATTGTTTACACTGACCATGCGTCATTACGCACGGCAGTGAACAGCCCGCACCTTTCACAACGAATGGCGCGGTGGTTGCCATTCTTTGCAGAATACAACTTTACGGTCGAGTACAAACCAGGACGACTTAATGTCGTCGCTGATGCACTCTTACGTCGTCCCGACTTTGAACCAGTCGTGAAACCCAACAGTGAGACAGTCACTGTTGCGTTTATGACGTCCTCAGTCCCATCTACAACGTTGTATGATGATGTGAGGCCGGCATACGCCCAAGATGGTGAGATTGTGAAGTTGTTGACACATCCCTCACAGCCATCTCGAGAATCGTTGAAACGATTGTCGCCTGCGTATCGATCTGCATCAGATCGATACACTACTCGCAACGGGTTACTGTATTATACAGCCGTTTCTGGTGACACACCACGTGTTGTCATTCCAGATGATACTGATCTGCGTTTGCGGATCATGCTCGAGTATCACGATGCTCCTAAAGGAGGACGTCGTGGCCGGGAGAAAACATATCTCACGGTGAGTCGAGACTTTTACTGGCCCCGCCAGTATCAGTTTGTGCGAAAGTATGTTCGCGCATGCGAAGTCTGTCAACGAGTGAAGTCAAGTCCTTCCCTGCGTGCACCTTTACAGCCTCTACCAGTTCCGGCTGAGTGCTGGGAATCCATCTCAATGGATTTCGTCTTCGGGTTACCCAAAGACGCACGCGGGAATACGGGTATTCTCGTATTTGTTGACAGATTCAGCAAAATGGTACACCTTGTGGCTGTACCATAGACAATCACGGCAAGTGGCTGTGCTTGTGTCTTTATTGACACCATCTTCCGACTTCATGTGTTGCCCCGTGAACTCTTATCAGACAGAGATCCACGATCCACTGCTGATTTCTGGCGTTCCGTGTTCAAATCACTCGGAACGCGCTTGAAGATGTCGACATCTGATCATCCAGAGTCAGATGGTCAGACGGAACGTGCCAACCGTGTCCTTGAAGATATACTTCGAGGATACGTACACTCCTTTAAGAGTTGGAGTAAGTTTTTGCCAATGGTAGAGTTTGCCATTAACAACTCGGTGCATGCGTCCACGACACATACACCGTTTTAAGTAAATGGCTTGCGCCATCCGCGTGTACCCACCTTAATAGAGTGTAACTCTGGTTTAAGGGGGGGAGAGACTCGCGCGAGCAAAAACCAAATTAATTCACGCTCATCACGCTCTGACGAAGAGGTCATTGCGTTTGATGTCGATATCAATAACATCGATATCGAAGAAAATGATGCCAGTGAGAGTGCTGAAGCCCTCACTGAAGAAAAGGTTGATGTTGCTGCAGTGCGCTCACAGCGCACTGAAGCTAACGAGTCATCAGATGAGTTCATACTGGCTCGTGAAACGGTAGTCCGTTTTGTGCAAGACTCCATCGCCGAAGCGGTGGATAAGCAAAAGCAAAACGCTGACAAGAATGGAAGGGCAAACACTCTTTTATTTAATAAAGGTGAATTAGTTCTACTGTCTACGTTTAATCTACCAAAGCATGTAGTGACTAACTTGGGTAGCAGTAAACTACTACCCAAGTACATCGGCCCATTTCGTGTATTGAACCGCCTAGGCAATGCATACACGATCGAGTTGCCACGTAAGATGCGAACGCATCCCACGTTTAACGTTGGTCGGCTTAAGCCGTACCATCAGTACGCTGCTTCTTCCGATGAAGAACGCCCTTGTGCTCAAGCATCTCGCAGAGAGCCTTGTGCTCCCGATGATGGGCATCGACAAGGGTATGGAGAGCATTTATCTCATCCCGAGACCGATCAACAATCCCACGGGCTACCCTTAGCTCGTCACGAAGAGATGTCAGAGCTCTCTCGTTCTCAAGCTGAGCAAAGGCAAACTCAGCTCGATGCTTCGAGACAGTGTCCGCCATTTGGAGACGCCTGTCCCGCTCATGTTCGAGATCACCGCGTAACCTTTGCGTTACGCGATCAAAGAAGCTCTCGGGAACACACCGATCCCCATGATCGTGTGGAGAGCGTCTTTCCTCCTCCTCCACCTCCATTAGAGGACTCTCGCGGTGGCCAGCGCTATCTAGTTGAGAAGCTGTTGAACCACCGCGACTTGAACGGACGTCGGACGAGTTATCTCGTCCGGTGGCGCGGCTATCCCCCGTCCTAGAATACTTGGGAGCCCCGCTCCCAACTGATGGTTGACGTACTGGGTCTGGTTGAGCAGTACGACGCGGCACATCCTGTGCCGCAGAAGGACCGCCGGAGAAAGTCTTCCCGGCACGGTTGTAAAGGGATTTCAGGTTGTCAATCCCTTCGTACATATCAGTAGAGATGCGTACGCGCCACCACGGGCTGGTAAGAAGGTAAGCCTCCTTAGGTGCTCGTGCAGAGTAGTTCACACAACATGGGCACGAGTCTCCCCATGAGAGGCAGGGTAATCCCTTCTCCCTTGACAGACGATGCAGCTTGTAGCGTGCACCTGTCGGGGTTCGCTTTTTAAACTTATCACGAGCTTTGATAAGTTTGTCGTTCCAAGCGTCACGACCTACATCCTCAAAGTTATGGATGTAGGCGTTCCACGCTTGAAGCAGTGAGGGACCATCACGTTTGTGATTCCCACTGTACCATCGAAGTTTGAAGAAAGCATCGATGAAGAATTCATTCTCAGCGCGATAGTCTTTCGCACTGGGGTCAAGGTGATGGATCCTTAGTGAATCGAACAATCGTGTTCGATAACGATCTTTCGTCGTCGCCGACAAGTGATCCATGACAGATTTAGGAGGCATCCATGCCTTCTTCTCGGGAGCGAGACGCAACACATTGCGGTCCCGTTCTTCCTGCGATGTGCCGACAGAAGGACTGGCACCTCATTGCGAAGTGGTGTCCATAGGAGAACCGACACCACTGTGAGCGCCCGAGTCTCGCGACCTCGAGCGCCTTCGCTTCGGCGATGGTTCATCGGATTTATCAGATGAACCAAAGATGCTACGACGCATAGCATCATCCATGCCACGCTTGGCAGGCGGCTTGGATTCGATCGCCGTCGATACGGGTCCGTCTTCCGTATCAGGAGAGTACGAGACACCAAGCTCATACTCTGTGAAGACATGAGTGTCTTCATGACCAGCGCCTGCATCACCAAGTGACACAAGCTGAGTCGCTTCAGCAACCGAGGAGACATCAGTTGCTGTGGTTTCTGCTTCGGCGTCCGCACAGAGACGTGCGGACGCGCTCTCGGCGGCCTTGCTCGCGCATCGCATGGGCTTGTTAACCATGCGATGAATTGCTGGAAAGTGGACTCGGACCAACAAGCGCAAACCCTGTCCCAAACGATTTGGGACGAGTATCCATTTAGTCAATCAGTCACTAAAGTGACTGATGGTTAATGGGGGGGGTGATGTAACGGGGTGAATCGTTACATAACAATTTATAAGAAATTGTTAATAGAATATAACTATAAGAGTTGTATTCTCAGAATATTGTCATAAGGACAAATATTCTGTAGCACTTACGAGTAGTTCTTAATTGGTTGATATAGGCCATTATATCAACCAACGAAGACGCGCCACGACAGACGCACGCAATGAGTGGTGAGCAGATAATTGATTTACACATTTGTATTTAGACATAGTTAGATGAAGATAAATAGTGATTTATTGCAGACATTAACTATGCTAAACACAGTTCTACTTTTTACTTTAACCAAGTACTCGCTTCTTCTTACCGTCTTCCTCTGCACGTACGAGTGTACGTGAAGTTCCGAGGCACCGCCTTATTCTGTCATCAGAATAAGTAGCTTGTACTCTCACCAGTACAATCTCCAGGGTGCCCCATTACACGCAGTTGATGTCGAGATGCCTTTCAATCCTTTTTTCGTTTCTTGCTGCTGAGACTCTGCTGCAGGAGTTGCTGCGTGAGCGGACACTCGCTGCTGGGGTGGCGCTTACCCACGAGGAGGTGCCAGCGACGCAAACATCGACACGCCGTCGCCCGGTGCTAGCGCTCGATCCAAGGTAAAGGCTGGCTTTTGCTCTGGCGAACCAAGTGCTTTGACGATATTCTGTCGACCGCGCAATTTCGCGCTAAGCGCGGACGCGGACATGCCATTTTCAACACTGCCGAGAATACTCTCGTCTTCGTCACGGACGCGCTGCGATGACTCGAAATTCGCCAGTCGATCCATTACGCCGACGAGGGCAGAGAGTATCTCATCGTTCATCGTCTCACTCCTTTCACGTGCGGACGATTTTTTGACAACTGTGGTCACGTCAACCGTCGGTGGGACACGTGCAGGCGATCCTCGTCCAGGCGCGGATCGCGCGCCGCCACCTGGCGTCGTCGTAGTCGCGTTTGTGGCTTAAGCCATTTGGCTCATAACCTTTAGGCGATCGTGCGTTGACGCAGTAGGAGTCTGATAAAATTCTGTCAATTGCTTGTCACTAGCTAGCTCTTTTCCTGCCTTTCTAGCTGTCACTCTCCTCCAATCCTCTGTTTCGTACACGTACATTCTACACCCATCTCCCAATAATATGGCTGACGCAAATCGCCCAAGCCTCTTTCCTGCATGCCTTACAGCAAAAAAAGTCTTACATCGTGGTATGTTCAAGCTACAGAAGACCGATGTTTGCATTTTTACGATAACAATTGCCACCAATGGTAATTCACGAGGCTACAAACTGAAGGAGAAATTACAAGACTGACGTGAGAAAATAACAGCAACTTTAATCTGAGCTCGTACTAAAAGCTTGTACAAAAAAAGTACGCACACAAAATAAAATAACAAACGCATAAATAAATAATAATTAATCAAACAAACGTTTACAAACAAACGTTTACAAACAAACGTTTACAAACAAACGTCGGGGCGAATCACTTGCCCGCATAAACGATCTGTTTGCGTGTCGTTGACCAGCACCAGCAGCAGCTCAAACAAAACGCTCTCCTTGAACTCATGGTGCGTTGACCATACCACGAACCTATTGTATCTCCGTATCACGCTCCTCACGCCCCTCCTGTCATGTGCTTCATCATGATGATTATTGTTGTAATTTTTTATTATTACTAACATCATGTCTACTATTGTTTTGCTCTCTTCGGTTTTTTATTTTATTTTTATTATGATTATGATTATGATTGTTATTTTTATATTTTTTATTATTCCATGAAGGCGTCCGTCTTCCTCGGAGACCTGAACGACTATATCCAGCCGTCCCAAGCTTGTGTGAACCCCTTGTTCACGTCGGACGAGGGTCTGGACCAAAACGACGGGGGGTCGTCTACTCCAGGCGTGGCCAAGATCACACTCGAGACGGAGCTCCTGGACGAAGACTTTGCAAGGCCTGTACCTATTCAGCCCAATATCATTCGCTCGACCAAGCAGGAAAAGGCGACGATCTCGCTCGATGACTGTCTCGCCTGCAGCGGCTGCGTCACGTCAGCTGAGACCGTCCTCATCTCACAGCAGAGTTTCCAAGAAATGCTGGACGTGCTGGCCAGCAACACGTTCAAGCACGTGGTCGTGACGCTGTCGCCGCAGTCGCGCGCGTCGCTGGCCGTTCATTTCGACCTCCCGGTGATTACAGTGCACCGTAAACTCGTGACGCTCTTCCATAGTCTCGGTGTCGATCTCGTGATCGATTCCACAGCCAGCGGTGACTTTGCCCTGCTCGAGTCCCGTGCAGAGTTTTTACATCGCTATCGCAACCAGCAAAAGACGATCTGGGCGCGACCGCCATCCTCAGTGGCAGTCTCGGCTGACAAGACGGAGTTTCTCGAGCCAAGTACTGCTTTGAATCCGTTACAGGACCCACTGCGAGCGCTGCCGATGCTGGCGTCGTCGTGCCCTGGGTGGATCTGCTATGCTGAAAAGTCCCAGCCAAACGCTATCCCATTTATTGACACGACCAAGTCCCCGCAACAAATTGCCGGGTCGATCATCAAACGCTTTGTGAGTGGCGAACATGGCGCTGCCCCGCACGAAGTGTATCACGTTGCAGTGATGCCGTGCTTTGACAAAAAGCTGGAGGCTTCACGCAAGGATTTCCAAGACGCCGAGAACGCAACCAAAGAAGTAGATTGCGTACTCGCTACGACTGAGATCATTGGACTGATTGAGAAACTGGACGCTGATTTTGCGGCTCTCGAGCTCGCGAAGCTTACGCCGGAGGAGATCATGCTGAGTGGCATATCAGACGACGGTTCCAGTGTATTAGGCAGTAGCTTGAATGCCAGCTCTGGCGGTCAACTTGAGCACATTTTTCGCTTTGCAGCGAAGGAGCTCTTTGGTGTGGACGTCAACGGTCCGCTCGAGTATGTTGTCGGGCGTAATCCAGACTTTCGCGAGGTATCGCTGGCAGTGGAGGGCAAAGAGGTGCTGAAGTTTGCAATATCGTATGGCTTTCGCAACATCCAATCGATCATGACGAAGATCAGGCGAAACAAGTGCCCGTACAACTACGTTGAGATCATGGCATGCCCGAGTGGGTGTCTGAACGGAGGTGGTCAAATCAAGCCGAAGTCGACGTTGCAAGCAACGGAGCTGCTTGATAACGTCACGAGTCGCTTCCAGGAACTCCAAGTGCGTCAACCCAGTGCAACCCCAGCTGTCAAGCATGTGTACGAAACGTATTTGGGTGGAATGCCATTCTCCGAAGTAGCTCGCGAGGTCCTGCACACACAGTATCACGCTGTTCCGAAGATGGAACAGTCGAACCCTTTGGGCATCAAGTGGTGATTCGCGTTAACGTCGTACGACAATCAGTTGTAAGCTTAGACCAGCCCAGCGGCTACTAACACGCTCTCGTTTCCAGTGTTTCATTTTGACAGTCTGTCGTCTATTGTGTGCCGCTATTATGTGCATCCATGGTGCGACCATTCTATTCTCTCCAGCACAAATCAGTATAGTTCTTCAGTCCCTCCCCGAAGCTTGTGCTGTAATCGCCACAGTCTCTTTAGCCTTGTGGCCAACGTGCACAGGACAAAGCACGTTGGACTCGTCAGCCTGGTGCTGGCCGTCCTTCACTCCCCACAGGTTCTCGTGGATACAAAAATCCCGAAGGCTCCGGCGAACGGCGCGCACCTTCAAGACCAACCACGCAGACATCAAATTCTCGTCGACATGTGCTGACAATTCTTGCGGCTGGAAATTTTCCACCTCACCCAGAAATGCCTCTCGCCATACGTTAGCTTTCTTTTTGCTTTCAATCTCCTCATCCTCCATCCAGTGCTGGCTGTGCAGCACCATGCACCCCAAAAGGACGGGCAAGTACCACAACGAAGCCAAGAACACCTTCTGTGCCGAAGCATTCGAAGGTTTTGCGTAAAACTTGTGGGCCAAGTAGATGGTGTACGCATTCACCACAGTGCCCTCGACTGCAAACATGTAGCTCGTAGCGCCTGTCAGTGCGGCTGCAATTGGAATACCACTCATGTAGTACGAATACTTCAGTGCCAACGCAGCACTTCGTGAGCCCGTGGGATCATTGCACGCTACCATCTTGTAGCCACCACGTTCATAATCCTTGCGCGAGCGCCAGCTCAGGGCAAAAAAGTGCGGCATCTGCCAGCAGTACATTAAGCATGCGTGGAGCACAGCTTCCGGTGCCAAGACAGTGCCAGTAGCTGCTGCCCAGCCCATGACCGGTGGAATGGCACCCACAACTGAACCCACCCACGTGTTCCACTCGCTCTTCATCTTCATGGGCGTGTACACGAGCGAGTACAGGCCAATATTCAGCACGCCAAGTGAAGCTACCAGCGGACTGCATCCAGCTGCAAGGACAACGGCACTGGTCGTGGCTGTTGCAGCACCAAAAGTAAGTGCATGAGCCTGAGAGATCCGTCCAGATGGAAGTGGTCGGCGATGGGTGCGCTGCATCTTGGCATCCAGCTCCACCTCCCAGCACTGATTAAATGTATTGGCCGAGACTGCAGCGAGAGACGTGCCGACAGTAGCAGCTGCAAAGGTACACCAGGAGATAGGTCCACCCGCCATGAGGAAGCCTGCACCGGTAGTCATAACCACGAGCGCACTCAGCCGTGCTTTGCCTAATTGGCCATAAATTGTCAAGCGGTCACGTAGCGTCATGTGATTGGTCAATAAGACCCCGTCCGGTGCGACTTCAGGCGTCGCTGCTTTGAGACTCGTAATTGCTGCTACTTCAGCCGTTGATTGAGTGGAAAAAGCGCGAATCGCATGAGGACGGAGGCGGAGAAGGTGGCGCTGGTCATGGGATGCAGAGGAAAGGACGGCGCGGGCGAGCGGAGTCGAGACGAGCGTGAACATGGCGAGAGGGGAGGCGAAGCGCGGCCACTTGACGACTGCGTCGACAATGCGATGAGGTGGTTGATTATCTGTTCATTTTACCCAATCAAACGCTAGCAGCACTGCGTTTCGAATAAGTATACGGCGGTCGACACGATCGGCTGTGCAGATGCATTGCGACCAATGGCAGGCGTTTGAGTACTTTGAGTGACGTTGATTGTGGAGAGTCGAAAAATGTGCTTCTTTTGTGAAAGAAAGGCGTAGGAGAAGGATCAGATTCCATGTTGCAACTGTCCGTAGCTAGTAAAAAGTCGAAAACAGCTTTGTACGGATTCGAAAAAGGAAAGAAAAAAAGCACGTACTGGAGCGACTTGCGCGGAAGGGACTTCGTCCTTTCATCGCCAAAGATCTACAAGATGAAAAAATGTGCCAACTTCTTCAAAAACTGTTTGGAATCCTCGCTGCGCTTGCTAGATGGCTTGATGTCAAACTTCGTCTTATCATCAGGCAAGAAACGATGGACGCTGAATGTCACAAGTGTCAGCGCCATCAGGTTTAAATCGTAGCTGCTAATTTTCATATTCGATAGATAGTGTGGGAGCAAAGGAGTTTGTGTAGAACACTTTCATTGCAACGAGAAAGTCTGAATTGTCGTCTGGGAACCAGTACTTTCGACTAGGTTCACCAAGTGTTGGAGTACCAGGAAGATCAGAACATTCACATGATCCTGTCTCTGCCAAGCATCTCAACATAAATTGATCAGAACCCTATTATTTTTAGTTTAGGTCATGTCCTTATGTGACAAACAAATTACCCCATTGAACACCGTTTTCGCGGCGTGTATTTCTAGTCGATATGTTAAAATTGACGAGTCGGTGCGAACCAACAATGCGTTTCGTAGAATGCGAGGTCGCGTAAATGTCGCACGATGACATGTTGATGTGTGTCAGGCTCCTAATTAGATAGGATCAGAAGGATCCAGCGATGCGCAGGTCTGCAGAGAACGGCATGAATCCAAATTGTTTTCCGTAGCACAGACAAGATGTTGTACCCTTTTATAGCAGAATGGGGGTTTGTCGAACCCGTGTTGGCTGACCGCACAGCACCTCTAGCAGAGCATGCTGAAGGTGCTGGCGCGCGCATACTGCTTAACAGTCCAGACATCTTTCTCTTGACCTCCGAACGGCTAGACGGAGAACAAGTCATTACAACCCCATGGTGGAGCGGTGCAGAAGAAGTGGCAGCATCGGTCGAAGGTGTCTTGATAATCATAAATGCCACAAGGTCTCTGCAACCCACGCTAAAGCGCATGATCAGTATTCAAGTTGCAACAGGAAGATCAGTGACAACTAATTGATCGACGAAACCTCGTGTTGCAAAATCAACCCTTCACGCGGACTGAAAACCTATATTCCTAGATGTGTAGTGCACCCTGTGACCCACAGACCGACAGTGTGCGCCATCGTCTTCTTACAACCGCTGCTTGTTACTCCAGGACGATTTATGATGACTGCGTGGTCAAGCTGCACAGGTTGAGTGAATAGTGACAAGAAATAGCAAAAGCTTGCTGCAAAGATAGTAAGAGAATCATGAGTTGCTACACAAAAGGTATCGAATCAAGTGTGCAACATGTGACTACTGAACTCAGTTGCAGCAAACGTGAGAAACAAATGCTCTTGCCCTCACAATCGAGTACCTCTGAACTCAAACTCTTAGCTCGACTACAACGACAGAAGCGATTTTATCGCGAACGAACGAACGTGCAGGAAGCTGAGAAGGTGGATATTTGAGAGTAATGATTGCAATATGAGTCGATAGGATGGCATCATGAAAAAATGGATTACAACGACTGACAAGGAAGTTGTCAAAAACTTTGCAACAGTAACGCGAGCTTCTAACCGTCCAGTGAAAACCTCCGTTTCTGTATCGAACCTCAACACTGAGGATGTCGGCACGTTACAGCAATAGCTCAACAAATGCGCGAGACACTAAGCCCACTTAGCGGTCGTAACAGGGCGAGTTTAGTGATTGCAGGGAAGAAAACAGCGTTCAAACAGAGCTGGATTAGGCAGTGAATGTCGTATATTGATCTGCTGATGTCGGGACCAGACTTCACGTTACCATACAACAAAACTACTAACCGATGGAGCAACGACAGACAAATGGGGCGCCTCGGAAACAAACTGTAACATCATGTGAGCTCGTCAACGAGGATAAATAAACACAGAAGAGCGATCGCCTTGCCACGTAAATTGTAAGTGTTTCTCACACCTCCGTATCTTTCAATGTACTCGATGCAATCCGTTTCGTCGAGTATCTTGAGATCCGATCGGGGACAAACCGCCGCAACGAACTCCAGTTTCCAAGCTTGGACATCTGCGTGACCGACGTCCGAAGCGAGCTTTCTCGACCCACGCGAAGGTCGTGAAGAGTGCCTCGGTAGACACTCCCACGGGACAAATCGTCCACATTGACGTCGAAAGTGGAAAAGTACGAGTGCGTCAACTCCGCAGCTTGCTCCAGAGCATCACTCCATCGTCGACAGATCTCAAAGTCGCGTCGCTCGTACAGATGCAGCTCCATGTCTTGGCCGTACGGGTCCTCGACGTGCAAAATGCCATCCTCACTGCACGAAGAGCTCGCCACTGCAATTTGTACCAGTGGCCGAGGTCGCAAGTCCTTCGACGGACAGTACTCATGACGATATAGCAGCAAAAACTCATTGCGTAGCACCGCGTACACTTTCGTGTATCGCTCTGTTTTGCCTTCAGCAGCAGCATGACAATCTCCTTGACGAGCCCAGAACATCCAACTTTGAATGTGAATGTCCTGCGGTAATGGCGAGGAGACGGTGCTACTGCTGCTATTGCTGTACGAGTCGCGTGCCTGACGCAACGAGGAGCTACAAAAAGTCTCACTTCGAACGTGCAGGTCTCTCGATCCACAATGTGTCGACAAGTGATTGACGAAAGTCGAACGTGACCGTCGCAGACGCAAATTCTTGCTCGACCTCGAGACCGAGAACCGATGCGAGAAAGTCGAGCTTCTGCTCGAGCCGTTGCTGTCCATTCTTCTACTGGTCGAAGAAACGTAATTGTCAAGTGCGGGACTTTCACGAATGACCAGGTCAGGTCGATCGGTCGGTCGGTCAAACGTCTGTTGGCGCTACCAGAGGCTCGATGACCATGTGTAACGCTGGCAAACTGCACTGATTAATCCCACGCTGGCCACATGTCAAATGATTACACTGGCCTATTTCCACGCAGAGTAAGGGCGTCCAGTACTTGTCAATAGATGTAATGCTCAGTTGGCTCATTTGACATCAGGTGGTGCTACGTGTGGCAACTTCCTCGAGTGAAAATGAATCATGGGACGACAAAACATACACGAAAGGTTCGCCTTGAGGTTGTCGACGGTGGGCCATACAGCTCCTTATGTCAAGTGTAGCATAACCTGCTGGCCTCACCAGCTGATCGAGTGGTGATCAATGCTGGTATTCTGCTCAGCATATGGCCGCTCCCTGGCACATGGCAGTTTTTTTCACGAGGACGTAAAGACGTTATCGACTACACGTCCTACCCATCCTCTCGCATTCGTCCTTGTTGCGTTGCGTTGCTGTGCTGCCTGTCCATCCAATTCGCAACGCGTTCTGTCCCACCTGTATGTGATCTATCTTCCGCCAGTTGCACCTGAGAGACTCAGGCGATTGATCTGGCCCAGGAACTCCGAGTACGAGCACTGGCCACCGGGAAAGCTGGCCCGGTCTTCTACGAGCTTCCAGAAAAAACGACCCTCTGCTGGATCGCCCTCCCGCATGATAACCACATTCTGGCGAGGCAACCGTTCCGCGCGGATGGCCGAAAGAATGGCATCCACGCGATTGCTCGTCTCGTCGTGTGGGGCCAGAAGTTTCAACTACGTCAACCACGGAAAGACAGCGTGAGTAATCGGTCACCTGCTAGTCAGACGGTGACCCAGAAGGTGTTCCTTACCTGACTGCAATCCAAGCCCTCCATAGAAGGAGCGCCAAATAGACTCTCTAGCAGTTCAGGTGAAGCTGACCGGCCAACCCATAGATACAGACTCAGTGCGTCGTCGAGCAAGAACACCCCGTCGCACTGCAGCCGTTCGATCGTAAGGTTGACCACTGGTGGGAGCACAATCGACGTAGCGTCGGCACCCTGTGCGTCTTCGGTAGTTCGGGCTTCTGCAGCTGGCAGACCCGCTCCAGGCGGCATGTTGTGCAGAGCAAACATTCGAGGATAGATAAACACCCGCGATAGCTCGACAGGCATGTTGTTCAACTGCAGAGAAAAAACAAATGTGGGTGATCGTTCGTCAGAGACCATGTCGCGATGGCGAATACAGCAAGGCGTACCTCATACTGCACAAATGTGCGCTCATCCGCACTCAGGTCGGTGCCGCCGCGCAAAACCGAGTTCTTCATGAGAGACATCTGCACCGCACAAACAAAGCAGACGATCAGATTTACTACACGCGATCGCCACGCGACAACTGTGGACTTACGATGTACAGAGGCAGAAGCTGCATAGACTCTGGCAAGTGTAATTGGTAACCAGAGGATTGCTTGGCACCGTATGTACCAGAATTGCGATAGGCACGGACGATATCCACGCACTGTGTCTGCAATCGCGATCGACCACTGTCCAGGCCAGTCTTGAGCGCAACTTCCAGTGCATTTTTGGCCATGATGTTGCACAGCGCGTCTTGATCGACCTGGCGGAAGAGCTCCGCGAACACTGTGACGCAGTCAGGCAAATCAGCGGTAAACCTCGTTAGCTTCCCAAACAATGCAAATCCCTTCACGCGATAACGTACGCTTAGTAACTGGAATGCAAACGGTATGCACACGGATACGTCGTTCGCCGCCCGAGTTTGTGTACAGCAGGCCAGCCTGTACGGAGATCGTCGAGGATGTCAAAAGCGCATCACTGTGCGTAATCTCTACTGCAAAAGTCGAATCTGCGTTGCACGTCGGGAGCGCAAGTAGATCCGGTCCACGCAAAAAGAAATTGCCGTAAAAATTTGCGAGACGCATTCCCTTTGTGCAGCGAACGCGCATCACAGCCTCCCAAGCAGTCTCGCGAACGAGGCAGTGCGCCAGCTCTTTGCTAAACTTCTCCCCGTCTCGCTCAGCGTTAAAAGCCGGATAGTAGTAAACCTGACCTGCTGAGTATTTTGATAGAGAGCCTGCACCACACAAAAAAAAATAACCACATTAGCTGCACGAATTACAGAAAATGTCTCATGCACTCGATATTGAGCAGCAAGGCTTACCCATGGAGGCGATATCAGTGTACATCGAGGAGAATAGGAACAAGTCCACGCTGACTTGTTGCCGACAAAAGTCAATGGCATTCGTGCGGTAGAATCTGGACCGAACAATCCACATGGCAAACGAACAAAGCGTCAGTATCAATAATTCCGTGTCCATGATAAAACGGGGTATTTGAGCGCAAGTGCCGTACGTATCCGTGGCCTGAAGCAGAGTATGTTCCTTGTCTGTTCCGTAAACACGAGGGTTGTCGCGGTTTCGGAGCGCGCCATTTCCAGTCGATGGCAATGAGTTCTGGAAGACAATCATTTTACCACCAATCGACGACTGCAACCAGCACTTTGTTAGCACGAAGTTCAGGTAGATTGCTGTAAACCTTGTATAACGCTGCATACCATTAGCTTGAAGGCAACGCGGATTGCAGGTCCTAATGCGGTTTCAGCTGAGTTTGAATTCTGGTGGATAGTCGGCAACGTTTCGAGCAACATCTCGATAACCTCACGAGAGTCGCTCATGTTTACAAGCAACTCATCCGGGATAGGGATAAAGAGTTCTTCAAGGTCCGCAACCACCATCATCTGTGGGGCCTTCAGTGTCGACTGTGACAACAACAATATTCGACACATAATGCGTCAGCAATCAGGACCCAATCACACGACCAGAAGATGCCATTACTGCACAGACCTTCAGATTGTAGAAGTGAATTGTGCTGTCATATGTGAGGAAACCGATGCGCGTCCGCGGTGCACCTGGAAGATTATCAAGCTGTTCCCTGATCGTAAGGATCGCGACCTGAACGGAGCCGGATGCAATCGCGGCGGCTGAAACATCAATGACAAACACATAGCACGGAGGCTGGGGAGGGCGCATCATGTACTCGGACGGAGCAACAATCTCCACACTGCCTGAATGAAGCTCCGGGCGCTCATCTCGATCTTGACGTAGCTGGTTTACGCCCAAGTGGCAGAAATACGAGCTCGCAACGTCATTCGACACTCCACACAGGTTGCACCGCCAACGGCGGCCATTATCCACCCACTGAACAAACGGGTTCATGTATGTGCGGCAGTGGCGGCAACGCACGACTCCAGCAGGTCCAAAATTCACTACATCCAAGTCACGTCCTGTTTCGGTCGGCGCCAAAGGTCGGATAATGAGTCCGTAGGTCAGCTTCGAATTTGTTGCGTGCTCGAGCGAGTGCGGCAATGCTTTCACAGTGAGCCGCATGAAACGCGAGTCGCACTGTGACGCCATCATCGCTTCGCTCAAAGGAGCCTCCTGCTGCATCGGTTGTCCTTGAAACCCTGGCTGTCCTCCGTATCCGTCTGCTAAACATGAGCAACATCAACAACCGTTAGGCCTTGTTCTGTATCAGAGCAATCCTGCACATAACGCACCGTTTGTCATCTCATGAGGTTGCTGGAAATTTCCACTCGGTAGGTTGTTGCTGTATGCTGCCAATGGCTGCTGCTGCTGCTGATGATGATTCATCATTGGAGACTGCTGCTGCTGGTTTATCATTGGAGGCTGCATCTGCTGCTGCTGCATCTGCTGATTTAGAACTGGTGGGGGCGTCATCATCTGCTGTGGCGTATTCATAGCTGATGGCGGCACCCTCATCTGCTGCTGTTGTTGCATCTGCTGCTGGTGAACCATAGCAGGTACAGGACCAAGTGTCTGCGGCGAAGGTCCTCTCTGAAATCCCGTCCCAGCTACACCCGGACGTCCCTGCAGTCCCATAGTTGCAAACTGCTGCGTAAGTCCGTCGTCCATGGATCCAGGAGCTGGAAAAGGTCCAGGAGGAGCAGCAAATCGTCCTTGTCCCATTGGCAGTCCAGAGTTGACAGCTGGAGGCCCGTTCTGTACCGGAGTTCTATTCAGCGGTCCGTTTCCACCAGTGACTGGACGGCCGTAGCCTCCACTGCTGCTCAACGGAGCCGGAGGGGTCCGAAACAACGACTGCGGTGGCACCGCAGCGGGTTGACTCACGGGTCCGCTGCGGTTGTTGCTACCCGAGAGTGGCGCATTCATTTGCGCGGGATTGAAGGGACGGAAGGCCCCATTGGCGCGCGGAGGCGGTTGCTGCTGCTGTTGAGGTGGGAGGCCGTTCTGTGGTCCGTATGGAGGGTTGTGCATGCCGGTCACGTCTTGGATCTCTCCTGCTCTCTCCCTCTCTCTCCTCTCTCTCCTCTCTGACTCAATCTATTGATCTCCACGCGGCTACGACTACGTACGATTGGGAGACCCGGCAATGGCCTTGGGAAGACATTGGGAAGACCTTGAGAAGATTCATGAGGTCTTCTGAAAGGTGCAATGCAATTGGTCAATAAACGGATGAGGCCTTTGCGCCTGATGGATATGAAAATGAGCTGCTGAACGGAGCGAATTGGCGACGAACGACGAGCTCGTCGTGGCTTGGGCGACCACGCAAGCGCTACTGTGAGCGAACTTTTGGTATGTACAGAGCCACAGAGTTCACGACGCTGGCGCGTCTACATTTCACGCTCGTGGCCGCAGACAGCTTTGGTGCTGTGGCAAGTCCGTCCCATTTGGGAACGACGATACGGGGCGTTATGCAGTTCTGTCGACGAAACAAGCGACCACGGGACGTTGATATTGCTGACTAGTTGGAACTCGTGGCTCGTTTTGGAGTCTTGGGGGTCCTGTATGCTTGAAGCATTCGCACATGACGGGGTCGTGCAGCGTACGGGATTGGCACAATTCTTTCATACCTTGTGGCTAGATCAGTACTTGTTAAGGACTGATCGAACGAATCGTGACAATTGACGCGTCTAAGGAAATATGGTCTACTTCGCACATGTATCATATGTGTGTAAATGTGGCTGATGATGAATAGTCTTGGGAAGACTGAACAGGGTTGTAACCGGTTGAGTAAGGTTTTTGCCACCTTGCTTTCAGTGGAAACAGCGTCGGGGCTGACGCGGGCGATATTGTGGCCTGGTCCAATTCGATGCATCACCACATGGCGTTTAGAAACTACTCGTACCTGTGAGCATCATAGACCATGATTGATGGGATGGTACTCTAATCCAGTCGCAGTTATGCATGTGGCTAGATCACCTTCCGTGCATGAGAGTTGGACTATCGTCTACCTTTTCAAAGGCGCCATCCGTACACTTCGATTGCACGCAGATAAGAGTGCTACAAACTCTTCGTCTGTCTTGTCTCGACTCGACTCACACCGCTCGGACTTGCGAATACTATATCTACCGCCACTAGTTAGCCTTGATGGCGCAAACGATATGTTCTGGCGCGTTGTGGGCTTTCAGTACCGCCAACGAAAACTGAAGGCGAAGTGGAGTGCCGACATCCCATTAGTTTCCGTTGCTCGCGAGGCTGAAAGCAATCGATGCACAAGCGGTATCTCGAGTTGTTCACGAGCTGAGCTGGTGTCGCCACTCAGATGAAAATTTTGCGTGCAAAGAAAACACCAGGAAAGAAAAACTGAGTGATGAGCAAAGGGAACTGTGCGCATGAGACGCAGCAATCAATTTCCGATATGTTCACTGCTAACATACAATCGCAGACTGTACGACTATGAATTGTGCTCGTCATAGCTGATGCGGTCCGACTCGATTTCGACCACGTCTTAGATCAGCAGAGTTACATTGAGTCAGCAAAGTAAATCTGTGGAAAGCAGACTCTCTGCTCGTCAAGCTGGTTCTGCTGATACCGAACCAGGCTTGACGTGAAGACCCTTTTCTTCGCGCTCAAAAAAGAAATGCGACACGTAAAGCATTCGACGTTAGTACGAAGATATCAAAAGCTGGAACGGTAGATTCGTGGCTGGGACGCCACAAGTTGCTGTGCACTACCGTGCAACAGCAGCTCTCGTGAAAAAGGCATGCCTGGAGGTTTTCTACCATCGTGGTCTCAGCAGACAACGGAGTAACCAAATGATCTGTCAGGAATTTGTGAGCCAACGGGTGGGAACCACACTATGTAAAGAAGTGCAAGGTGCTTGATTCGGTCGTCGACCCATCGTTCAGCGGAATTTCTACAGTAACGTCTGCTAATCCCGGATGGTAATCTTTACTTCCGGAGCTGCAGCGCCGTCCTTGAAAAATTCTTGGAAAGTCGAATATGGCCGTGCTGAGCAAACAAGTATGCGGTTGTTGACCACCTATCTACATGGGTACTAGCGTACGAGGCGATTGGCACGGCTTCTAACATCAACCGTTGGCTACAGCCATCAGCTAGCTCGTCGAAATTGAGTCGTAATGTTCTCTTTGAAATAAATAGTATTGCAAGCGATTTGAACTTTCCTGTCTAAGGCTGCGAGTCGTCTTAGGCATTTTTACCGCTTGGTCGTGTCTAGGCGGTCAACGATCTTCTCGAGTTGTCGTCGACACTTATTGCGCAGCCGTTGCTTCCACGGCGACTTCTGCTCCTTGTTGTAAATGACCAGCGTGCCCGAGTACACTTGCCGCAGCTCTTTCATTTCTCGGCGCGGGATGTCCGCTGGCGCTCGCTCGATCGCTATCGAGCGCTCGTACGACTGCGTGAGTTGAGCAGCAACAAACAGTGCATCGACCCAATCATTCGTCCGCTCGCGGTCGTAAGCGAAGAGCTCCATGCTCTCCCCCGCCGGGCCTCGCGCGATGATGCCGCCAATGTCCGTAGCTCGTACACCAGCCACCGCAATTTGAATAACAGCCACAGCGTCACCCACGGGTCCTTTCGAGAGCCATAGCACCTCGTTGCGCAGCCGCGCGTACATTTTCAGCCAGCAGTCCTTGCTCTTCTTCCAGTACATCCATCCCTGTTCGCAGCACTCGCTGGCTTCCAGCTGCTCGTCCGCGTCTCCATAGTCTTCCATAACACCGCAGCACGAACTCGTGGCTGTTGCCAGCGACATGAGCGAGTCCGAAGACAGACAGGTCGACACGGACGAGAGCATGCTCAAGTTGCTCGACGTCGAACGCTGGCTGTCCATGCACTTGCTCGTGGACTGGCGACTGCTGCTGGCAGAGTCCTCGCGCACAAGCTCTTGTTGCTGCTGCGGCAGTTGTTTCTGCTGCTGCTTGAGCTGCTGCTTCTTCCGTCGCGAGGGCATCGCGGTCAATGACAGACGTCGCATGCGGTTTGCTCCCAACGCGCTGCAAATTGCAAAGTACCAGGTCGTCTCTTTTTTCCGCCATTGAGCCAGAGGGAGCGAGACACTATGCTGAACATAGACAGGACGAGACGGAGACCAGGAGACGAGGCGATTGGCCGGTAGGAGAAAAAAGAGCCGTCCCCCTCTATCTGGACATGTCACACGTGACGAAACGGCGTGAGCGAGCGCACAGAGACGTGACGACGACGACGACCGCACGCACGCACGCACTGTCTCCATGATTGCCACTTGCCACGAAAGACCAGCATGTCGACGGAAACCATGACGACCGCGAGATACAAAAAGGGGTCACCACGACGGCTGCACGGATTTCTGGCGCCACCGCATGAGACACGCGAGAAGTGCTCTGCACCGAGATCGCTTGCTCGCCCGACGATAGGACACGAGACTGCCGCGGTAGGCGCTGTGACGTGGAAGTCGTCGGGCCTCGAGCTCGGTCGTGAGGAAAAACTGCGACGTGAGTGTAGCCGCTTCTTCGAGCCGGTGATGCCACTCACTGAAGCTGTCTTCGTCCAGGAGCCAGATGTCCATGTGCTCGCCGTTTGGGTCCATGACTCGCAGTTGGCGCTGGCCCGACACTTCGACACTGGAGACAGCGATCTGCAGGAACATGGTCTTGCTCGAGTGGTTGGTTTTGAATAGCCACAAGAACTCACTGTCCAGCACGCCGTATACTTTGGTCCAGCAGTGCGCGTTACTGGCGTCGCGTTGCCAGTACATCCAGTCCTTTAGCGTCTCGCTCGTGGACGAGAGCGATGGCGACGCCAGCACCGTCGCTCGCTCGGACGACGCTCTTGAGATGAAAGTGCTGATGTCACTGTTCGTTAACGGGTTGCGGCGCAGCGAGCGATGCTTCACGAGACTAGTAAACGAGCTCATAATTAGCGTGTCGATGTCTTTCGTTGCGCAAATGACCGAGTGGATGCTTGATTGCTACCGACTCAAAGTGCGAATGCGTAACTTGAGTTCGTCCATGTGAGGAGGAAGCTTCACGCATCCTGGAATCGAAGGTATCAATAGCCTTCGTCCAGCCACCGTGTTGATAAAGTGGTTCTGGATTTTCAGCGTTGCGGTAGGCAAGTGATGCTTTGTCGAACTGGCAAATGACTAGACAAGCTGTCGTGGCACCCATTTCTCAAGCCCTTTGTTAACATGTACTTCACATCTGAGTCTCGTGCTTTCGAACTGAGAGGACGTATGCCATTTTGTCGAGCGTTCGTGGCTTATCTGCCGATACGGTTTTACACATGCCAAGCGGCCATCACTGGGATGGCTGTGCTTGACTTTATTAGGTCATCGCTGGGATCGAGACCCGTCCGCATTTGCAGCCGATGGATCTTATGGCCGTTATTCATCAGCCCTCTCGGCGTGTTGGCTTTGGGTGTGTGCTGGCAGCTCTAATCGTTCGGTATCCGCCCTTTATTTTTAGTGTCTAGTGTAGTTACTATTGCTTGTGGGCGAACTTCCACCTGCGATCGTGAGCGCTGACAGGTACGTCCCGCCAAAATTGGGTGCGCGCGGTCTGACGCGATTCTTCTTTCGTCTATTGCGCTCTCTCGTCTCCTGGTTAGCCACTGTAATGTGCGATCATCCATCCTCTACCATTGTGCGTCCAAAGTTGCGACACTAGAGACTAGCTCGTCGTTTCATGGGATACGACAACAGTTGCGTCGTGCGTCTGCCCGAATCTGAATTACAGCGCCAGGAAATAGACGGACGCAGCGACACACGGAGATTCGTTCAGTCGCGCACGACTCATTTGCCAAAAGTGGCTGACAACAACTACCAGACAGGAGAAATCACTGAATACGATCGCGAATGTCGCGATGGTTGTCAAGTCCGGACGTCAGTCCAACCTCATCACTCACTCACTCACGCACCAATTCCTGAAAAACCTCGGACCGAAATCTCGCAATAGTCGCCGATAGAACCATCTCGTGATTTTCCACCCTCGCAGACGAACGAACTTAGGGACCGACTACACCATCTGCTGCTACCTTTAGTACTGCATCTTGAAAACGAACGGTCCGACGACACTCGCACTCGACAGTAGTACACGTTTTGAAGCCATCGCTTCCTCCACTCGATCGACTTAAAATCAGTACATTTCCACCACTGAATCTCAACCACGACAAGCCACCACCATCATGCTGGATCCGTATCCGCAGCCACAAACCGCCGAGCTGCGGCGACGCGCGCCGCTGGACTACGGCACGTCAACCGTCGAAGCGCCGGACCGGTGGGACTACGTGGTCGTGTTCCCGAACCCGCCCAAGCACGTGATTGAAGTGAGCGACGAGCGCGACACGATCATCAAGCGACTACGGGGGGCAGGGCTGCGTCTGCGCCTTTTCTACTCTTCCGGCAAAGAGCTCGTGTTCTGCAAGATCCGAGCCCCAGAGGACCTCATGCGACGCGATGCCGAGCTCCTTGGCATGCGGCTGCAGCTGGACTCGACGGAGCTGCGACACGCGTCGTTTCACGGCATTCCCGAGTACGGCATTGCGCCGTTCCCGCTTCGGGACGTGAAACAGACGTACCGGTACTCGCCATTTGACTACATTTTTGCCCCGTACTTCCAAGCTCGAGACTTGCAGCACTTTTATGCGAGGAAAGGGCCGAATCACTCGCTCTTTTCGAGCACGGACCGGATTGGACTCATTGAGCACATTATCACCAATCACCAGACAGGGGCGGGGCAAGACATTGATCGACTGATATATGAGCAGATTATCGTCGAGACGTACCCGTTGCATGAAGAGCACGAGAAGATGGAGCTCAAGGAGCGCTGGCTTGTGTGGAACACGTCGCCTATGAATCAGCCATTTGACCGTATCTGTCAGTACTTTGGTGTCAAAGTAGCACTTTACTTTCTTTATGTGGGGCACTACACCAAGTGGCTCTTGTATCCGACGCTCGTGGGAATCATCACGGGCGTTGTGAGTTACAGCATTCCACATGACAACTACAGCACCGTGTTTGCCTACATCTCGCCGCTTTTTGGAGCATTCATGACAATCTGGATGACGATCTACCTCGAGAACTGGAAGCGGCTTAGTTCACGAGAGACGCTTCGCTGGGGTACTGCACACTTCTCAGAGACAGTCAATCTTCGCCCGCAGTTCTACGGTGAGCGCATCCCTTCGCCCATCAACGGCAAGTCTACACGGTACTTCCCCCCACGTGAAAAGCTGAAGCGAGTAGCCTACAGCTGGGTGGTCATCTCCTTCCTCATCCTGATCGTCTTTGTCATCGTGTCCTCGATTTTCATGCTGACGTACGACCTGACGAAGGGCGACGACTCGGACAAGCTTGTGCTGGATAATTACAAGTACGGATCGATTTTGTCGTCCCTTGCAAACGTTGTCCAGATCACCATCATGACAAAGATCTACAATTACGTCTCCATTATGCTTGTGGATCAGGAAAACCATCGCACGGACATGGAGTATGAAAACAGTCTCATCATCAAGACTGTCATTTTTCAGTTCGTAAACAATTACGCGGGTCTGTTTTATGTCGCGTTCCTGAAAGAAGGATTCGAAGGTTGCGACGTGAGTTGCATGCACGAGCTTGAATACATGCTCGCGATTGTGTTCTGCTCGCGGCTATTTGTGGGCAATATTGCCGAGGTGGCTGTTCCGCGCTTGTTCGTGTACTTCAGCAGGTACCAGCTGCTGGGCCACTTGAATGACTACAAGCAGTCTGACGCTGAGCGCGAACTCTTTATGGCACAGTACGATTGGCACGGTACCTTTGACGACTACACCGAGATGGCACTTCAGTTTGGTTTCACGACAATGTTTGTCGTAGCTTTTCCATTTGCGCCTATGCTTTCCTACGTGAACAACTACTTCGAGATCCGCTTGGACGCGTACCGTCTCATTTTCGAGTCGCGCCGTCCGCGCCCGCGTAACGTGCGCAGTATGGGGTACTGGTACCAGGTGCTGCAAGCTTTTGCAGCAATTTCTGTGTGCACAAACGGAGCAGTCATCATTTTCACCGGTGATTTCTTCAACTACTTGGAAACGTCCACTCGGGTGTGGATGTTCACGATATTCATCAATAGCATGTTCCTGTTCAAGTACTTCCTCGAAGTCTGCATTGCCGACGTGCCTGAGGACGTGACAGTGCAGAAGTACCGCCAAGAATTCCTCATCAGTAAGTGTCTGTACCACATGCCTGACGATGACGTCAACTGCCCCATCGGCGACGACTGCGACATCCCGGCGAATTCGTTCACCATTGACGATGAAGACTCTTCGTGAACGGGATCATGTGCATGCAGCTCGTAAGCCAACCACATACTGTCTGAGGTATCCTGCATGTTTTTTTTCACGATTAACACATGCTGGTATTGTGCAAACATCTTTGCCAAGTGCGTCACTGCGATGCAATCGTTTTTATGACAAACCGTGTTCAGATACCGATTGTTCGCTCTCATCCGAATGAGCTCCTGCTAGTGTGTACTTTTTTTTCGTATTTTAGTTCCAGGGTGAAGGCTTGGAGCGAACATGAATTGGATGGGCAAACACGTTGCTGTGTCTTCTACCGAAACTGAGGCACTGGCTGATATCGGGGTGACTCTGAATACACCAACATTTATTGCTGCATGTACGTACATGATTTATAGACATCCACTTAGCTTAAATAGAGTATAGGTAATTAATGCTGAGAGAACATACACTATTGAACAAGAGAACGTCCACGATAGTGAATATCCGATGCAATTTTATCATTCGAATCTATCGCACTTGACGAAATTATGACCTTCTTTTAAGCTATGGTGTCTATTTCAAAGTATTGTCCAACGGCGACAAAGCGAGATTGTAACGGGATAACACGCGGTTATTTGAACCGGTTATGATGTGTGTCCACACTAATTGAGATTGGAGGATCTGAGTGGTGCAGCCTTGGTACCACGTACTTACGGTAATGCCGCACATTATCGGGTAGGGATAAGAAATACGACTTTTGTCATAGGATCGCTATGTAGAAGTCAGTAAGACAAGGTTTCATTGTTTTGTTACCGTAGCTAAACAGTTAATAAAATTCAGTTCCCCTTTGAATTGCTGGACGCTAGTGCCTAGTCAATGCATAGCGTGTTGTAAGAGTGTTAGCCTTGTGAAGGCGTTTACTCTTGTTTAACGAGTAGTGACTACTTAGTGTGTGATGCTGTGTATCGTATTCCCTTTGGAACCGGGATTGTTAGGCTTGTACGCTTGAACGACTGTACTTCGTTGTTAGTTCGTTATAAGAGACTCCTCGAGATTAAGACTTCCTCTGTTAAGGAGCGCTAAGTAGCCCTGCTATAAAGATCAAGATGATACTGTGGCGGTGGAGCTTGGACTGGAACGGATGGAACTAAATGGTCGTGTGCAGCACAAGTAAAGCCGTAACATCAATGCGTGACTGCGTACCGTGGGCTGGAATGAATTGACTTAATATATTCGTACGTTGCACAGGTTAAACCAGGTGCTTTTAAAATGTCACTTGTCTCCTTCAAGTGGTTCAGCATAACCAATTCAAAATTATAAACAGATACAACACACATTAAATTGTATGTTTAAATTACCACGTAAGCACATACACCCGCGGAGCTGCTCTAGACTGATGCATCTGGACGATCATGAACTCCACCTTGTCTTCTTACCTTGACACGCGCCTCGCCTCTGGTAGTGCCGACAGCATTGTCTTGATAATATATAGAAAATGGCCAGTGTGACAAATCATTAAAAACATGGTCAATCGTGCTTAATCTTCGGGCAGCTTCTTGTCACAGATGATAGCGAGTTCATAAGAACAGCCAACCGTTTTTGTTCCATGGTCTCGCAAGGGCATCAGCCGTCTACGTAATCCTCGATACTTTTTTCCTTGCGAGCAACTGAGGTGGACGCGCTTCATGCCGCGCGACCTTGTGCGGAAAATTATTACAGCAAAAACTTGGCTCAAGGCGAACTGCTTGACGGTCAGGACAGCTTGCTCTTGACTTTGGAATGGTCCGACTGCGAGGGGATCTTCACAACTCCAAAATGGGGGAGAAATTAAAGGTTCAGCTGTACTAGTAGAGTCTTCATTTGTCTTCAGCGTCATGAAGGACAGCACCACAAATATCAGTGGTGACTAAGATATGAGCAACTGAAGCTATAACCTCGTGAGCTGCAACGCCTGATGTGTATATGTGATAACTCATCGCCATGTAAACGTTCAAGTTATGAAGATCATATTAATACCTGTCCGTGGCTAAACAATGGGTGTTCATTTGCTCAATAGTATATGTTCTTTAAGGAGTCAATCGCAAATCTAGCACTAAATATTTGCTTCACTACAAAACCCGCAGCAGTTGCAAAATTAGCACCACTCCAGCACAAAAATTACGTGAACCACGCTGAATCTTTCTTCTTGCTACAAATCCTTTGATTCCTCAATTTGCAGTAGCCAGTCGAGCAAATCTCATTATCAGGACCACAAATGTCCAAAGGTCCCAAAACCAGAACCATAGTTTAAACAAGTCTAAATTTATCTATTTTATACTTGGGTTGAGTATGCAAACTAGCATAGTGTTAGCCACATTATACTCAACTGCAACATGGGATAAGAAACTGCCTGATCACTAATGATTCGTCCCACTTTTTAGACAACTGTCGCAAGTGGTCGAAAAATGCTCTATTTTCACCAACGGGTCGTTCACATCTCAATTTGCGCCCACGAGCCGATGTGCCCATTTTGGTTGGGCACATTGCGTGCGAGCCAGGGCCCGGTCGCACGCACCCGACGAGCTCGTGACCGGGGGACTCCGTTATTATATCAACTCTCATGAGCAGCGGTAGCAGGCAATCATGCTGTTGATGTCGACTGTGCTGTCCAACGATCGTATGCTTTGTCTGTGTGCATGTGTTGCAGTGCGTTTCAAGTGACGTCGAGTAATTTCAGGTGGCATTAAGTCGTGACGAGTGATGTCGAGTAGTTTCAAGTGATTTCAAGTGATGTCAAGTGATGTCGAGTGATGTCGAGTGATGACAAGTGGCGTCAAGTGATATCGAGCGGCGTTAAGTGGTTTCAAGTGGTGTTGACGGGTGTCGAGTGGTATCAAGCGATGTTGAGTTGTATCGCGTAGTTTCGAGTGTGCTGGTCATGTCGAGTGTGCAGTTTAACGATGGAAACATGCATAAATCGTGGTGAATCGAGCCAGCAAGAATTTGTTAGGTGCATCAGACGATAATGTAATGAGCAAATTTATCTTTTTGAACTCGTGAAACATTTTTTTTTCTATCAGATCGTTTATGAAAGTCGCTACACAGTCGATTCTGCAAGTCAAACTTGAAGCGTACAACAACTGAAAATGACAAGTTGATTTGGATTCATATCCAAAGACATTGTCGAACCTGTATGTAAATGTGCATTCGATAGATGAAATGTTGCAAAGAGCTACACGCTGCACCTTCAATTCATTACAAATGCAATGGATCCTTTTGCGTGGCACCGACTAGAGTGATTTAAGGCACCACGGTACTTGCAGTCACTTGTAGCACTGGAATTAAGGAGCTCAACATGTTGCCTAAGTCAATTGGATGTGCAACAAATGCATCATCTCTTTCGTCAGCGGCATTCGAATGGCGGCGACATGTTTTACTGTTGTGTCCCGCTTGCGTGTACGACCGGCACTTGTACGTAGCTCCAGGTTTTGTATCCACTGAGCTGCCAATGCGCCTTTTTTGCCGACACCCAGCCTGCTTTTAGTACGCTGTTGGGTAAATTAAAACTGAAGGGGTTTTGTGCTGACAATATCTTCAATAGTCCTCCCCTCAAAGCCTTGCTTGAAGCTCTTCACAAGGTACGAAGGATGAAAAGCTGAAGTTACGTCGATCGTGGACCCAATAGTATGCAACAATGCAACCATGTGGCGCCAAGGCAATTCCATTTGAAAGAGGTCGAACATGAACACTTTAACGCTTCAGTCTCAACCCGCCGAAGTTTGACATAGCCTTGCTTTGAAGCATACCATACCCCAGGAGCTAATCGTGATACTTCATAATTACCCGCAGCCTTTTGTTATTTTTTCCTAGCTCTCGCGCACGAGGAGTCACTGTAAGCTCTTGAGCTGTCCATTTCACAATCTGATCTTGACGCATACTAAACTTGTCCATAGCCGTCTTTTTCAAAATTCGTATTGTCTCCAGCGGTGTAGCATCACGAATACCATTGACAAGAATCGTGTTGTTATTACTCCTAACAAAATCGGCAGTGCGCCTTCCAAAAAAAGTACATGGTGTTATCGGTGGCATGTTGTTATCGTGGGGGTGGTTTCTGGTGAGCCTGTTTGTTTCGTCACTAGTAACATCACATGAAAGCGTGCTTGCCCCATGATCAACAGCATGCATCGGCATATTGGCAAATACTGTCCAGTAAATCGGATCGATATCTTTAATGTACGTGGCCTCATCGACTTCAAAATATGACTAAATTGCCATGAGAGCTTCATTGCAGTCCATTTTTGTCTCTGCAGACTGAAGTTTCCACACTGCATTTCCAAACTCGCTTCCCGAACAGCCGAAGTTGCGTTCGACATTACGCAATATATGTACCGTACAGAAACGAATTTGAATGCTGATACCCGTTCTTATCCACACCGGTTTAACGGCTTCTTGCATTTTCCACGATCACACATGACAGCGACACTCATGAAATTAATTCCAGCGTCAATACACTGAATGAAAAACCACGCAATGTTGTCCTTGTTTTCCAAGTGAACAATTGCGGTTGCAAGCTTGAAGTTTTGTCCGTTACCGTCTCATTTAATCAGGGAATGTATTACGCCATTATACTTTCCGTAACGGAAATGGGTTCCATCAAAGCCAATCACCGGTATAATGAAAGAGTGGCTGCGGACGGCAACTTCGAATGCTACAAAAATTCGAAAAAATTGATTGTGTTGGTCTACGTCAAGTAACACAGTGCTGTCTGGATTGATGCGCCTCAACTTCACCAAGGGTGGGGCAAGGAGCGGGAAAGATTATTTCCATTCACCTTCCATGTCATCAACCACAGCATACTTGGCTCTATAAATCTCTTTCCGATATTGCTGCAGATTAGTGCCATCACGAGCCCGTAATAGCGCCACAATTCAATTACGCTTGGTGCCCTTGTCACCTCGAACAGCAGCATCAAAATTGGCAGTTGTTGAATTTGCTGAGATGATGGTTATTGATCGCCATGCATACATCGGAGTGGCTGTCAATGAACGTAGAAACATAATGCTCGAAAGATC